GCCAGTCTGTCTTTCCTTTATGTAAATATTTGGGTAGAAGCCTCCAAATGAGACTTAAATCTGGTGCTTAGGACACAGGTAACTAGAACATGCTTTCTTTGTACAAAACAGGTAAGACCCAGAAGAGCCAGTGAACACCCACAAGAGATGCTTCATTTCTGTAGCAGTCCTATATTCAGAGTGAACGAGTGTATAGCGCAGCCTATGCTGCCACCGATGGATCTCAAAGCATTTAGCAAAGGAGGTCAGCATTTTGCCAATATTCTAGGTGCAGAAACCAAGGTGCAGAGAAAAAGAGCATGCTTTGTATACGGTCACCCTTCAGTCCGGGTCTCCTGAACACGAATCTAGTACCTCATCCACATAAACACATTGCTTCAGCTCTACACATGCCTTATAAGTACCATCTGTGCTTGTGTACTGGAGATATATTATCCCTAGTCTTCACATATCCATGTGCATAAACGATATGACTTTTTAAAAGCGCTCACGTTCAGTTTTTCAAGCACTCTGGGGTCATGTTGCACGTGCAGGCACTAAAATAAGTGGCAGATTTTCAGAAGAATGTGACGTACTGAACTGTTTTGAAAAAATCTGTTATGTATTTTGGTGCATAATTTCCATGTGAGTTCGTGATAAGTCTGGCCAATGAAGTGCATGTGGCCTATATTCACACATGAAATATGGAGCGCTCTACCATATGGATGAACTGCCAGCACCAAGGAATTTGTAACACAGTCCCACCTCTTCACAGTTGATGAAAAGCATCAATAATTTGGGGATTAACATGGTTGTTGTGGATACAGCATCCTGGCTCCTGTATGAAGGGTTCTCCTGGTCCGAGCACTAAAGCCCAGCTTCAGGCATGAGAAAACCAAGCAGCATGAGATGAGCAAGCAGCACGTTCGACTGATAAACTGATTTGGGAATTTTATCCTCTAACTTTAAAAGTCTGAAAGTTAAGTAGTGTAAAGTTAGATTCCCGTGGCAGTCAATGGAGAGAAACAGGCATGTCTGCTCAATTTAGGATGCACAGGATGAAGTCTCTCCAGGGTACCTCTCTCTACTTTGATCAACAAGGGGGTCTAGATGGTTAAGTTAAATTAGACACCTGGCTTTTTACTTTCTGGAGTTAGAGTAGCTGAATTTTGCCCTCCAGAGGGAAGCTGGGTGTCCTGTGAGGATACAAGAAGCCGCTGTCACTCACTGAGCTCACAGTGAAGCCTAGAAACTCAAGTGATCAGGAGCAAACTCCTACACTGCCCTTCCTCATCAAGCGTCCTTGTCTTCTATTAACAACTCTGCCCATCGCTTCTTCTCTCTTTGCTTGGATGTGGTTTTCCATGGTGAAGGGAAGGCCATACCTTTGTGCCTCTTAGCTTTCAGTTCTCCCATGTCCTTCTCTGTGCGAGAACCTCAGGAGCCGAAGAACCTCGTTTTACTCTTTGTACACTTCCTCCATCTAAACTCTGGTGCTGCTGAGTTCTTGTTTAATTACCTCCTGCTCCCACAGTCACATATGTAGGGATTTGGTATTGATTTCACTTTTCTGGTAACACAGGGGTTCCTTGGCTTGTCCACCAAGAGCTTGCCAAAGTCTCCTCACAGTGCAGCAGATAGTGCAGAATAGCAGATTTGCAAAGTGTCAGAAGCAGCATCTTTCATGGAGACAGACTGTGCTAAATCAGTTCTTTCTCGCTGTGCCTTTTTTCTTGCTCTGACAAACTAGCCAAGTTTGTATTACTCTGATGACAGAAAAAAGCACATAGTGTGGGCTCCAGACACCTGCTAGAATAATAAACCAGACGGGAGGGAGGGAAGAAGCATCATGTTTTAGCTTATATAAAGCAGGAAGTCTGTCTTTTATTTTCTTCTTTTCTTTTCTTTTCTTTTCTTTTCTTTTTTTCAGAAAGCTTCTTTTATTTCAAAGGGAAGTGGTAACCACCATGGCTGGACATCCTGCCTCTAAAAAGAAATGCTGTAGCAGATTGCCATCCATTTATATTATGGCCCCTCTCAGCTTCAAGGTATCAGCACAGACAAAACTTGGAGCCTCCTATTCCACAGCAACAGGCTCCCCCTCAGTCCTTGTGGGTCCCTGGGGCAGGCATCGGTTGCAGTCCTGGGTCTCCATCCCCCGGCTAGGAGCATCGGGCCGTGCAGTGGTGATGCAGCCTCTCCGCTCTCTCAATAGCACTTCACTTTATTCTGACGCTTCACGTTACTGGCCTTTTACTTTTGGCATTTCTTTAGACAGCCAAGGCACTAAGAGGATATGAACTACAGATTGGAGAACTATGGAGAGCTAGAGAAGTTTAATGTGGAAAGCAAGCCTTTTCCTGCAATGCTAAAGCAGAAAGTCAAACATTTCATAAAGCTTTTCCTACTCCCCCTTTTGCCTTTAGTTTTCTCACTTCCACTTTGCTGTAACCGATCAAGTATAACGTGATGATGCAGGAAAGCTGGACTATGTTGCTGTCTCTGTCATGGCATGTTGCTTCCGTGATCAAGTCACTGCTTTGTTTCCTGCCTTGGGTATACTCGTATTAAAATCGGAATATCAATGCGCATTCACCATCTTAGGGATGCTGCAGATATCTGACAGTAAGAGGCCTAGAGAGACACAGAAACAGAGCTTATCAACTCTGAGTTTTCACCTCCCATTTTATCTATGGCACTGTTTGGTGTGGCACTCAAGGACAGTCCTGCATAGAAAACTTAATGGTTTCTCATATTCTGAGAAGGGCGAAATTTTGCAATTTCCTTCTGTCAGGGCCTCAGATGGCAAGCCTCTTGTATATCTTTACAACCAAGCTGCAAACCATTTAATACAAACAGAGTTCATAGAGAAAAATCTCACTCACCAAGTAATGCACCCTATGAGAAGCAATATTTTGTATAACATAACTTACAGAGGAAACTCTTGTAAGAAGACAATTTATTGCCATGGCAGTAACTGGCTGACATTTATGAGAAGTCTTGTTTTACAAGGCTTTCCTTTGACTTGAACACCAGGGTTCCAGTTGTGCTTACAGAAAATGAAAAGGAAACCGATATTATTTAGTGTACATGATATTCCAGAGACATTCCAGTGTAAGTAACCATGTGGGTACAGGCTGCTTGGACCACATGGGCTTGTACGTGTCCAGGGCTGTAAATCTGAGGCGAGTCGCTGGTTGAAAGGAAAAGCTAGTTTTCACTGAAGTTGCCTCATAATAAACTCTCTGTCTCGTCAGGCCAGCTGGAGGCTCCTTAATGCTGCTGGTACAACTGGCTTTTACCAGGGGGAGGAAGCGGGGGCCAGAGCAAGGCTAGGTCTGTCCAGGAAGAGGGATGTGGAACAGAGCTGGCAAGGACAAGGACAGGAGCACCCTGGAGAGCTGATTTGGCTCTCTTGCCGAGAGCTGGCGATAGCTGGGGCGAGGGTGATGTTGCTAAGGACCTGGCCAGGCCATGTCTCACAGCAGCAAAGGCCAAGCACCAGCCGGGACTTCCAGGGCTCTCGCACAGGCCAAGTTGGAGGTGGGAGAACAATCACTTGTCCTCAACAATGGTCTCCTTCACTTGTGCCTGTGACTGCTCCTGGATCTGAACTTGTTGGGCACTGTCAAACTGCAGGAGCGTGTGATTTTTAACTCACAGGACTCACATCTGAAAGCAGAGCTGTCCTCAGTTAACCCTCTGAGCCCAAACATCCCAGCTCCCGGTAAGGCGGCTTTGGATCTGAAAGCCAGCTCAGATGTCGCCGGTGGAAAGCAATGATTGGTGCAGGCAGGAGAGCTCCGTGCGCTGCGACGTTAGACCGTATCCACCCTGGCAGGCTCTCGAGGAGCCTCTGTTTTGTTTTGGCAGTACTTTAGGACTTGTCATGGCAAGAAATAGCATTGCATTAAGCAGAGGATCAGTGTAACACTCAGGAATGTACCTGGGCTGGAGGGCAGAGTGTTCCCTGGAGCTGTCTGTCAGGTCGCAGCCACCAGCGCTGCTGGGTGCTTGCCGTGCGTGACAGTGTAGGGAGGATAGACGGTTGGGGGGTTGCCTTTGCGCTGCCTAAGTCGTGCTGAGGAAGAGATTTCCCAGAGCAAAAGAGGCTTAGAAGGTACATATCCCATTAGCAGATAGTGGGATTGCTGTCTTTCTTAGGATTGTGTGTATGCATGCTGAGGGGCTTTGCTGAGCTGGAGTTACACCTACTTTACGGTGCTCTGTGCAAGAACAGAGTCAGGAAAGGCCTTGACTGACTGTAGAGGAGTTTCTTCAGGCCACGGTTCATGGTATTTCTTTCCACCCCAATCTACAAGACCTTGGAAGAAACAGTCTTCTACACATAAAAGTTTTATTGATAGTATCCTACCTGTTAAGGTTTGAAATAAACTATACAAGTATGGAAGCACACCTTTGGGCCAAGATGGTAATATTATGGGCAAGTCCTCTGGTGCACCTCAAGGAGGACAGCTCTCAGGTGTGTACAAGCTACAGTGAGTAGGGCCCAAACAAGTATAACTCCAGTGAGAGCACCGTTAGCTTTATGCCAGGGAGGAGCCTCAGTTGCAGCCTTTTGAGTTATCTCAGAGATGTCTGAATCATTGCTATCAGGTATTGAGTTTTCTGGAAACTTGTCTGGATGTTTCCTCTGCTGGCCAAGGCAGCTGTGAAGATGGAGGCTATGGTACGAAATGTCAGGGCCTCTGTGCTGTGAACAGTCTCCCGGGCCCCATTCTTCACACTGCAACAACCTCCTTCCTGAAGCTGAGTCCAAGTGGACACCACACGCCACTCCGCGACAGCTACTGGGGGTGATTTTTCTTTTTCCCCTTCCAGTCTTTTCTTTTCCTGGTGCCAAGGAAGGGGTGAGGCGGGGGGAAAGCTGAAAACAACAGAGTGACTGAAGGCCTTTAGCTTCTGCCAGGGAGCTGTGTCGTGCGGTCGCTGCATGCTCACCCTGCTCGCCAAGTGGGTAAAGTGACTGTCCTGAAGCACGTTCCTCTTCTCTCTTGCAGATGACGGAGGGCCGCAGATGCCAAGTGCACCTCCTGGATGACAGGAAGCTGGAACTTCTCGTTCAGGTAGGAAACACGTGTTCAGCAATGCAATGGCTTGTTACAGCTGTGGATGCCGGGGGGAGAAAAGGGTTTGCAGAGAGTTTAGGCAGCAACATCACGCTGCGGTTGCATGCAGAGCTCAGGGGAGGCAGGACTGCAGAGGGGAGAGGATCTGCAAGGATGGATCTGCAGGGAGGGCCGGGGGCTTATTCGCGCCATGGTTTGCCTTACGCTGTGCCAACACAGTCCCAGGCACCAGGGAGATGCAAAAGCAGCTCAGGTCACTTGTGACAACGCTACCTTATTACTTGGCTATTTTCTGAGGCATTGATTGCCAGCACAAAGAACTGCGCCATGTCTCCCCAAAATACCTGCAGCCCATCGTTTTGTCTGTTCGTTCACTCGTCTTTACTTGCCACCCAAAATTGCTGGCCCGCCATGTGGGACAGCTGTCCTGGTTGTCACCAGAGGTAGCAAGGCCCCCCCACCAACGCGGTGCATCCTCGATGGGCAAAAGCCTGCAGATGGCGGTGGAAAGGGCAGGCAAACACAAACATATATTAAAATAAGTCTGTGCTCCATCTTCCTTTTTATTCCTTTAAAAAAAGGGAGGGGGAGTGGATTAGGAAAAGTTTGAATCTGGTGCTAGCCGTGTAATGATGGGGCTCATGGAAGCTGCCCTCCTCCGAGCCTTTCTAACAATTTTGGCTCTTTTCTCAGAGATCACCAAGGGGTTAATAGCAAGAATTAGAAGAATGTCTTTTCTTTTACAAATGCTGCTGGGCCTGGCCAAGCAGCACAAGAAACAGGAAATGAAACTTCCCATCACACTTGAATTACCAGCCGTTGGCTGATAAACTCGGGGCAGGCAGGATCTTACTCCAGCAAACGGCAAAACCTGAATGGGGATTTCTGAAGGCAACTTGAATCACAGGAAATGCATTTCAGCACTGCTTTCTGGAAAGTTGCTTAAAAAACACCAATAGCAAAATGTTAACGGATAACATTTTTTCACGTGCTTAGTCACCGAGCGGGCTAAGTCCCTCAGCTTTCAGAGACGCGCAGCATACGCTTGCTCTGTACACTCAGGGATTGCCCAAATAGCTGTGAACAAGCTAGGCCAGGGCTAGAAGGAGAACGGCAAAATCGGTAGGACTGATCAGTTTAACCAAAGCACCGCACTGATGTTGCGGTGTCGCTGCAAGGTTAGGATCCCTGCCGAAGCTGGCTCCCGGATCTGCAAGGCTCAGCAGATCGCTCAGGGGAGGTCAGGACCGGTTGCATGTTGAGCCTGTAGGCATGTCCTTAAACACCAATTCTCTTAATCAGAATGGTATGAGACTTGGATTCCTATTTCACGTAAATGCCGGTGAAATTTTTACTAGTTCAATGAAAATGAGTTGGCTCTAATAAAGCATTGCTCGTAATAAGAATAGTCACAGTTTGAAATATACTTCTGGACATCTATTTGAGCTGACAATCTGACCAGTCTGCTTATTTGGGGTTTTTATCGATAACATTTTGGTTACAAGAAAGCTCATGAAAGAAAGCACAGTGAACCCGACAGCTGAGGAGACTGGTTTTGAAAGCTCTGTATCCATTTCTGAAGCTATTACATGAGTGAGCAGAAACAATATCATGTGTTTTGTCTTAAGTGTTTGATCACACCTTCAATGGGAATTTCCAGTGATCAATATAGGAAGTAAATTGCTCTGTAAATCACGCTAACTAGTTTGCAAGTGACCCATAGCTGAATTTTATTTATACAATAAATCGTTTCACTGTTTTCAAATAACATGTGAATGGGGGAAAGCCGGAAGGTGATTGTGAAAAATTCATGCCCATAAAAAACAGTAACCTTTGCTACATACAGGTTGACCCAGCTCTTTGCACAGCACCGTGCCTGCATATACATAGGATTGTCCACTGAGGGATCTCAGCTGCTTTTCTGGTTAAATGAGGCTCTTCAAGGTTATTTGGTAGATTGTATTCATGGAGATGGTAAATAGATCGCTTTTGGGTGGAGCAACGACAGAGGAAGAGGATGTTTGGATTCAAATTGTGCCTGTGCTACTGATCTTCTTTGGGAAGGTGGGTGAAATGCTCTGGGTCACTAGGTCTCAGCTGGCCTGCCTATAAAGCTCAGACAAAGCCACCAGCTTACTGGTGGCCTTATGGCTGCCCCTCTGAGGGCAGAAGAGTGCCGCTGCTCCTCGTGTGAGTGGTGCTTTCTCCAGGGAGGCCCCTGAGCAACCCCCTCCCTCCAGGAGCAACATGCACTTGGCCAGGGCAAATCCCACCAGCCAGTCCTTACTGTTTGGGGCTTGTGCTGAGATCTGAGATAAAAGTTGCTTTGTAAGTTCTGGGTAGCATTATTTTTATTATTACCTTATCTCACAGATGAACTGAATCAGAAGCTGTAAATAAAATGTTTATTCAATTCGGAGCCTCTGGCTGTGACTTCAAAGCTGTATTTATCTGTGGATATCTTGCCATGAGCTGAAACTAAGGGCTGTTTTGCTTAATGTTATATGCCTTGAAAGAGATTCTTCCATAGCTGTGTTGGTCCTTAGCAAATAGATCTGCGTTGCCTTGAATTGCTCATGAGCGAGGCTCCCAAATTCTCATGTGAAATTTGTCCATTCCCACCAACCTCAATCTTCTCCATAGCAAAGTTCACACTCCTACGGCAAGTTTAAAAGTGACCGCTGGGAATCAGTAGAACTGACTACTCTCCAGTAAATGAGGCCAAGATAATATTATCACCTGGATCTGGTTTTACGCAGCCTTGCAGCACTTGCGTGTGTGGGTGTACCAAGTGCCCAGGCTGGTGAGGGATTAGGGATCCTGCTGCTTGAATGGGAAGTGTCTGTATGTTGCTGTGGAAAAAAAGGAAAAGAAGCTGAGTCAGATGGGTCTAGGGAGATGCGTACAACTCCCTTCGCATGGGTGCAGGATGGCTCTTGGAGCATCTTGAAACTGCTTAGGCCGGTGTATTCCTCTCTCACTGCCTCAGGTGCTGCTGGGCACAAACAGACGCATCGGGGAACGATCAGGGTGTTTGCAAAGAGGAGCGTATTAAACAAAATGTGTCCCTTTTTGTCTGTGGATTAGCTGTGATCAGACTCGGGGGTTTATGAATATGTTGTTCAAAACATATCAATTTATGGTTAATGAGGACCATATCGCAGTCTGTAGGGGGATGGCAAGCCGTAAGTGCGCTCCTGTGGTTGCTTGGAGGAGTCTGTCTTGGCTCTGTGTGACAGCTCGTCCAAACCGTATTGAAATGTTTCGGCACCACAAATTTTCTCCCAAAACTACAAAGATTTCTCAGGCTGGTCACACAGATATCTCCGGTGGGACCACTCATGCACATATGTTTTGTTTTCATTAGTGATCCCCAAAAGTGAGATTCTGGCTCAAAGACAGCATTTATAACCCCTTCTGTGAATGCTGGCTTGCTTCGGTCTTGGCACATAACGTGAGGGCTTGGAGTTACCACCATGGTGCGAGTGCTCCTGTTTTCAGTCAGTCGAATGATCTCGACTAAAGCCTTTTTCTCCCCAGTCGAGTGGCTGCAGAGTGGTACAGCAGCAGCAGAAAAAAAGTAAAAACACAAGGTCTGCGGATAAAAGAAAGCTCACCGCAGTGTGTTTTGTCAGATAAACACTGAAATTCAGAAAGTCTAATCATAAACTAGACAGAGTATGATCATATGGAAATCTCTCCCTGAGGGTGTGAAACTCAAAGCCTATTTGACTTGGGATTATGAAGAGGAGTTGCATTTGGGATGTATTTCATTTGACAAATGCCTGTTGATGCTCTGTTGTGTGTGGCAAGTTTATATAGGATTTTTTTTGACAGCATTTTCTTTTTGCGAAGCAGCAGAGCCTGGCTCCTTGGATCTTCTTACACTGTTTTTTTTCCCATTTCTGTTTCTGTTTGATGCATGTTTAGTTTCTAATGCAAGTTTTTTAGGAAAGTGTTTGGCTTTATCCAGTTAATCCTTTTCAGCGAGCAAGTCCTCCTTTGCTGCGTCTGGAAAATGGATTTGTTCACATTCCCCAGTCTTAGACTTGCTATCTGTTATATTATTTCCGTGCGGCTGTGTATCATGTGTCTATTGCACATGAAAGGTTCGTGTTGCTTTATTGGAGAGTTTTATGTAATTGGCAATTCGTTCCTTTTCATGTAGGGTTTTATAAACATCGCTTTTTATGCGCTGGTTGAATCATGCGGCCTGGCTCGCTCCCGTTCTTGCTTCTGTGCAGGCTGCCTGCGCCTGTTGTCTGACGGCAGCTCCGAAAACTGTCGTCTGAAAGTGTTAAGCCTCCTCATTTTTTCTCTCTGGAAGAGTTATTACAGAAGAAGAGCTCATCTGAGGCCCATAGTAGAAGTGGCTGTGGGGTCTGGAGGGCTCTGAAATTTTGGTTGAAGGAAATACTGGGCTTTTTATTTCTAACTTTCCCCCTAAAGTGTGCTGGGACTGTATTTGGAGGAGATGATAGGCAGGGTCAGGCTGCCTCGGGGTGGATGGATGAAGGACCAAGAGCAGGTGGTGCACAATGGCGTGGGGTCAGCACCGTACTCGTCCTTCAGTGTTTGGGCAGTTAATCCTTTTGCATGTCCGTGTTAACACTTTTTAACAAACTCTTGCTGCCCAAATAACAAAATATGCTCACAGCATTTCTATCTCCCAGCTGCAGTGGAGGCACATCCAAAAACGTGTAAACAGTAGTATGTGTACAAGCACTGCCAAAATTAAGGAGATGTGCAGAACACCCTTTTGCAACCTGTTTGCCTTGCACAGTGAGTCTGCTCGAACTGTTTAGGAGTCTTTGGAGGGCCAGGACTTGTCTCTGCCATGCCTAGCATGCCTTGTCCTCTCGTCAGCGGGAACGGCTTCCAGCCAGACCGGGAGACGTTGGGAGCTGGGATACGTTGGGAGCTGGGAGCCAACGCTGGGTGTATGCTGAGGCGCCTCAGGGGCTGCTGACTCACTGCGGGGATGGTTACCACCAGCT